AGCCATCATTGTTGTTTGGCGGGCCCGGGCTGGGGATTCGAACCCGCCACCTTAGGTGTATGTGGCTGGTGCCTTAGCCGCTTGAGCCACAGGCACCGAGCCTTGCTTTAACCCTTTTTAGAAAATTTTATTATGGTAAAATACATATAACATAAAACTTATCATCTGATCTTATTTTAAGTACATAGTTAGCAGCATTATACACACACACACTGCTATGCAGCCATCCCTCCCCTCCATTTCTGGAACTTTCTCATCTTCCTAAACTGAAACTCTGTCTCCACGAAACAGACTCTCCACAGGCCCTTGGCAGTCACCATTCTACTTTCTGTTGCTGTATAAGGGGCTTCTGTGAGTGGGATCACATAGGATTTGTCCTTCTATGTCTATTTCTCTCATCGAGTACAGCATCCTCAAGGTTCATCCAGGTTACAGCTTGTGTCAGTTTTCCTCTTTTATGAGGCTGCATCATATTCCATTGTGTGGACAAACCATATTTGTTAGCCAGAGCCTAACATGTTTGCCTGTGCATCCAGATGTTAGGTATGTTGAACAGAAAGACGTACCTTTTGTTTCTGAAATCAAGACCATACGTAGACTTCGTCTTGAGAAAGAATTCAGGAGTCTTCAAAAATACAGCCTACATGTGCTGGTTGAACGTACTGTGGTGTCAGCCTCTCCTCTGTGTTGACATTTGTTTCCTTATCTAGTTTTGTGATGACATCCTTCATAAGATGCGTACCTGCGCAGGTGCCTACATACCTGTGTGCGCTGCTTCCTTCCTCCCCCAGAGCCTGGCCAGGTGGATGACGGCTTCCCTGTTTGGTTGGAAAGCTAAAGCTTATCTCCACCAGGGATGGACTGGTTGGGAATTGAGTTTGAACCTAGAAGTCTAAGTCTGTCAGTCCTGGTGCCTTCTTTCCATCCTTACTGGTTTCCTTCCATTGACATTTGAGTGTCTTCTCTGTGTTGGACGCAATGCTCAGTGTTGGGAGAGAAAAGACATAGCTGCAGGCCTTAGAGTGTCCAGCCTATTACACAGAAGTATATTGGTAAACAGGGCACTCCAGCAGGCGGTGACCAGAGTGAACTGCTGGGATGGGCCCAGGTAGGGCTGCCTGTGACTCTCCAGGAATGGCAAGGAAGGACCTCTTTGAGGTGACTTTAGCTGAGGTGTGAATGACAAGAGAGTCATTCACCTTAGGAGGTATGACCTATAGTAGCAAAGGCCTGGAGGCGGGATAAACTTGTGTCGGAGGCATCCTTGGGGAGGCCAGGCTAGTGATGGGTAGAAAGTGAGCCTGGAGCTTATGAGAAGTCTTTGGGGACAGCCACTACCCAGACTCCCAGAAGAGGTGGCCAGGAGTCAACCAGATGGTATGGACAGGTTGCCTCACCTATGACCTCTGTCTTGTAGGATTGCCTGGACAGATCTTTCCGGGCCCAGGTGTTCAGCTGTCCAGCCTGCCGCTATGACCTGGGCCGCAGCTATGCCATGCAGGTGAACCAGCCACTGCAGACCATCCTCAATCAGCTCTTCCCCGGCTATGGCAATGGCCGGTGATCACAAGCACTTCTTGGCAGAGGTTTTACTTAAAATATGCTGGAAGGGTCTTTAATTGGCCCTTATGTTGTTCTTAGTTAACTTATAGTTTTTCCTCCATTCCTAAAAAGGCTTGTCTTCCTTTTATTTTGTTTTTTAATCTATACATTTTCAGGAATTTATGTATTCTGGCTTGAAAGTTGGACTTCTCAGTATTTTGTTTAGTTTTTAAAATGTTATAAAGCCTGAAATTTATCAGCAAAAAAACTATGGCATAAAGGCTGCTTATGTTTCTGGTGTCAAGTTCTCAGAAGTTCCCACCACCAACTAGCAAGAAGGTATTCAGCCACCTAGAACAATCTCTTTTCAAGGTTTGTGGCTTTGGCTCCCAAGGCCAATGCAAGTACATCTTTCCTGATGGCATCTCATCGTATAAAATCCAGCAAGATGGTTTCCTGTGGTGGCCATGGGCATCCGCGTGATCTGTGATCCAGCCGTCCATCAAGAAGTTGAAAGGAAAAGAGGAAAAATCTCAGTTTAAACTCTTCCCATAAAGCCATCCCTGCCAGGCTGCTTGGTGTCTAAGATCCACATGAAAAATCCTCTGCCCATATGAGCAGAGAGTTGGGGCCTGGAGAACCTACCTCAGCTGGACTCTACTCCACGTGGGGGCTGCGTGTGCGGCTGATACTGTCTGAGAGCAGGGAAGCCAGTACACAAAGCCACGTTCAAGTGCCTTTGGTTCGTTTGTTCTTTCTAAAGAGTAGGCTCTTTGTTTTTAGCACTGAATTTACTGAAATTGCCAACCAGGTTCTAAAAACTGTGGACATCCAGTTCTTCCTGACACTGGATGGGTGTTTGGGGATGGTTTGAATTTATAGATCATTTAAATTCAGTTTTTTAACTTGACAGTTGAGAATTATAAGAGGGAATTTTTTTTAATGAACACTTTTTCTAAATGAATTTTTTTTGTAGTTACTGTATATGTACCAAGAAAGATATAACTTAGGGTTTGGTTGTTTTTTTTGTTTTTATTGTTTTGTATTTTTCAGAATGGTTTAACTTTTCTAATTTTACCAAAGTTTGCAGCTCATACCTCAATAGAACAGGGATATTTTAAATCACATAACTGCAGACAAACCGAAGCAATATTTTTAAAGGATCCCTCCCATTGTTAGATTGTTAATGTGTTAGGGAAGAAATTCTGTGTAGGCTTTTTCTAAAGTCCAATATTGGTTCAGATTTTAGATTCTCAGAATAAATGTTTTTCACATATATTTGATTGTGTCTTCCTATTTGCAAACTGCTTTGGAACTCTCTGTGCACTTTGGTACCTGTTTTATTTTCTCAACAAAATGCAGGCACAAATGCTAGGCATTGTCCCCATTTTACAGATGAGAAAACATAGTGAAAATCATAGTGATGTGCTGAGGTTCTATGCATCTCAGGAGGTGTTGGGCTATTTAGTTTTCAGCAGAATTCAGCAAAGGGAGGGGTAGGGGCCCCAAACCAGTTCACTTCCTGTTTTAATAAAGTTTTATTGACTTCCACACCCAATCAGCAGAACTGTGTGGGTACAGCAGAAACTATCTGGTCCACAAAGCTGAGTATATTTACTATCTGGCTCTTTGTAGACAAAGCTTGCTGGCCCCTGCTCTGAAGAAGCAAAATCCAGTAGCTGGGATGTTAAAAGTATTCTCTCTGCCAACTGTGTGGCTAGTGACTCCTGGACTACAGTGCAGGTCTATGGAGAATGAGTGTGTGTGATGTTTGGAGCAAAAACCATCAGCTCCTAGGAAGATTAAATCTTGACTTTCCTCAGTGGAGCCCAGTAAAAATAGAAACCACAGAGCCTCGGCCCTCAATCCATCAGAATTTTGAGAGTTACACTGAATGGCTGAGAAAATTGTATACTGTCTGTTGTGCTATCTGCTAGAAGTTCTGGCCTTTTTCCTTTAGTTCTAGGACTGAAACATTGAAATTGGAAGAGGTTTGGTCTCTAGCATGTGTCCTGCCCTCATGCCTTCTAGCATAGGACCTGGGTCACTTTTTCACCAGGATGTACAGTACTATCCTCAAATACATTTGAGGATCTAGGGTGTGAGGAGTCACCTACCAGGAGACCAGCTGCCTTGAGTGGGTATTGCTAGTCAGCTTCAACTAAAATGTCCCTTAATCCCAGAGGGTGGCCTCTGTGGACCTGTTTCCATTTGGACACACCTGGGCTTCATGAACTCATAGCCACAAGTGCTATTTTGGGCAGAGGTCAGAAGTCAAAGATGAGGTTACTTATGTCAGACTGTTGCAGCCACCTTTTGATGGTTAAGTAACCATATGGGCAGTTGGGTATCTTGCTGGGTGCAGTGGCTCACCCCTGTAATCCTAGCACTCTGGGAGGGTGGATTGCCTTAGGAGTTCGAGGCCAGGCTGACCAAGAGTGAGACTAAAAAATAGCTGGGTGTTGTGGCAGATGCCTGTAGTCCCAACTACTTGGGAGGCTGAGGCAAGAGGATTGCTTGAGCCCAAGAGTTTGAGGTTGCTGTGATCCTATGGCACTCTGCATAGGGTGAAAATTGAAACTGTCTAAAAAAAAAATGTGTATCTTTTGGTCCTAATGATATCACACGATCTTGAAAATGTTATGCTAAATTAAACCAGAAAGGATCATGTTTCTATTCATGTGAAATACCCAACACATGTTAAGGACAAGAAGGGGATGATGGATAAAGGATACTGGGGCTGCTCTATTGCTATTTTTTTTTTTTTTTTTTTTTTTTTTTTTAAGTCTCACTTTGTCACCCTTGGTAGAATGCTATGACGTCACAGCTCACAGCAACCTCCAGCTCTTGGGCTTAGTTGATTCTCTTGCCTCAGCCTTCCAAGTAGCTGGGACTATAGGTGTCTGGCTATTTTGTTGTTGTTGTTGCAGTTTGGCTGGGGCTGGATTTGAACCCATCACCCTTGGTATGGGGCTGGTGCCCTACTCACTGAGCCACAGGTGCCGCCTGAGACGGGGTCTTTCTATGTCAGCTGGGCATCATCGTAGCTCACAGCAACTGCAAACTCCTAGGCTTAAGCAATCCTCCTGAAGCCTCCTGAGTAGCTGGTACTAGAGACAAACACCATCACACTCAAGTAATTTTTTCTGTATTTAGTAGAGACAGGGTCTTGCTCAGGCTGATCTCGAACTCCTGTCCTCAAGTGATCCTCCTACCTTGACCTCTCAGAGCACTGGGATTACAGGTGTGAGCCACCATGCCCGGCCTGGAGTTTCTTCTTGAGATGATGGAAATGCTCTAAAATTGGTGATTGCACATATCTGTGAATACACTAAAATCCATTGGATTGTATACTGTTAAGTGGGTGAATTATGTGTTTATATCAAAAAATGTCAAAATGTGAATGTAAAGTCAACAGAAAACATGCCTAGCTGTGGAGCAAACTCCATACATGGTCATAGGCTCTGTTCTCTGGAAACAGGTTTATATAGCAGAACATCCTGACGTGGGCTCTTTGTGGGGATTGTTGACTTTGATGTTTCTCTCACATTAAAGTTAAGAATGTCATTGTATAAAAAAAAAATCAGCAGAACCTAGAAGAGTATTTGTGAAACCACTATTCAGAAGTAATCATAATATTGGGCGGATTTCTTTTCTAGCTCACTTAAATCTTTTTTTTAATAACAGCTGTGTTAAGATTTTACATACGGGCTCGTCGCCTATAGCTCAATCGGCTAAGGCGCCAGCCACGTACATCTAAGGTGACGGGTTCGAATCCCCAGCCCGGACCCGCCAAACAACAATGACGGCTGCAACCAAAAAATAGCCAGGCATTGTGGCGGGCGCCTGTGGTCCCAGCTACTTGGGAGGCGGAGGCAGGAGACTCGCTTGAGCCCAGGAGTTGGAGGTTGCTGTGAGCTGTAATGCCACGGCACTCTACCCAGGGGGACAGCTTGAGGCTCTGTCTCAAGAAAAAAAAAAAAAAAAGATTTTACATACGTCAGTCAGTCTTTCTTTTGTTACAGACAGGTTCTTATTCTGTAGCCCAGGCTGGAATATAGTCAGAGCTCACTGCATCCTCTAGGGATCCTCCTGCCTCAGCCTCCCAAAGTGCTAGGATTATAGGGGTGAGCCACCATATCCAGTCAAAAATTAAGAGAAACATAGTTAAAAATCAGCAAAATCCAGAAAAGTATTTCTTTTTTCTTTTTTTTTTTTTTTAGATGGAGCCTCAAGCTATCCCCCTGGGTAGAGTGCCATGGCATCACAGCTCACAGCAACCTCTAACTCCTGGGCTCAAGCGAGTCTCCTGCCTCAGCCTCCCAAGTAGCTGGGACTGCAGGCGCCCACCACAACGCCCAGCCATTTTTTGGTTGCAGCCGTCGTTGTTTGGCGGGCCCGGGCTGGGGATTCGAACCCGCCACCTTAGGTGTATGTGGCTGGCGCCTTAGCCGCTTGAGCCACAGGCGCCAACCCAGAAAAGTATTTCTGAAACCTCCATACAGAAAGTCATAATATTGGGCATATACCTTTCCTGTTTCACTTTCATTTTTTACAACAGCTTTATTAAGGTATTTCACATAACATAAAGGTCACTTTTTTAAAGTTCAGTGGTTTTTATTTACTATATTCAGTTATGCAGCCACCACTGCTGTCTAATTACAGAACACTTCCATTCATTACCCCAAAAAGATACCTAACACCCATTAACAGTCACCTTCCCCCTATCTCCCCCACCCCAGATCCCCAGCCCCTGGCAACCACTAATCCTTTTTCTGTCCCTGTGGATTTGCCTGTTCTGGACGTTTCATATAAATGGAATCTGTCACTGTGTCCTGTGTCTGGCTTCTCTCAGCACAATGTCCTCAAGGTCCATCCACATTGTGGTCTGTGTCAGAACCTCTTTCCTTTTCATGATTAGTATTCCATCATGTGAATGGACTATCTTTACATAGTCCAACCACTTTTTTTTTTGAGACAGTCTCACTTTGTCACCCTGGGTAGAGTGCCATGACATCATAACTCACAGCAACTTCAAGTTCTTGGGCTTAGGTGATCCTCTTGCCTTAGCTTTCTGAGTAGCTGGGACTACAGGTGACCACCATAATGCCCAGCTAGTTTTAGAGACGGGGTCTCTTGCTAAGGCTGGCCTCAAACCACACCTGGCCCCTGGTTGACTTTTTAATGAAAAACTTTACTGAATGTGGTGGCTCATGCCTGTAATCTTGGCCCTCTGGGAGGCCAGGGCCAGTGGATTGCTTGAATTGAGTTCAAGACCAGCCTGAGCAAGAGCGAGACCCCTTCTCTTACTAAAAACAAACAAAAAAAACTAGCTGGACATCCTGGTGGGCATGTAGAGTCCCAACTACAAAGAAGGCTGAGACCAGAGAAACTCTTGAGCCTGAGACTGAGGTTGCTGGGAGCTATGATGACACTGTGGCACTCTACCCAGGGTGACAAAGTGAGACTGTCTCAAAAAGAAAAATGTTTTCATCCTTTGTTTCAATTAATACACAATTGCTTAAAAAAATTGGAAACAATATCCGAAGAAAAAGTGAAAACATAATTCTGTCATCCAATTGGTTATGGTTTAATTTGCCTTCAGGGGCTTGGCATCTGTGGCTCAAGTGGCTAAGGCGCCAGCCACATACACCTAAGGTGGCGGGTTCGAATCCCCAGCCCGGACCCACCGAAACAACAATGACGGCTGCAACCAAAAAACAGCCAGGCGTTGTGGCGGGCACCTGTGGTCCCAGCTACTTGGGAGGCAGAGGCAGGGGACTTGCTTGAGCCCAGGAGTTGGAGGTTGCTGTGAGCTGTAATGCCACGGCACTCTACCCAGGGGGACAGCTTGAGGCTCTGTCTCAAAAAAAAAAAAAAAATTTGCCTTCAGGTCCTAATTGCACACGGTCTGTATGTATTTCTTGCTTACTATATGCTGGGACTGCATTATTTAACCTGAAAACTACCTTGATATAGTTTTGACCTATATCCATTTTGCAGTTGGGGCACAAAATAGTTAAGTTGTTTACCCAAGGACATGGCAAATATTTTCATGTATTTGCTTCATATATGTGGTATAAATTTTAAGGACAAAACTAGGACAGTGCCGTACACACTCTTGTGCCTGGTTTTCTTTTCAATTCATCTCTATTTATTGAGTAGCCACTTCAGCACCTTCGTAAACTGATGTGACCTTGACCTTGGTGTATGCAGTGCGTGTATACGTGCAAACAAATGGGAACAACACACATATCTAGCAAAATATTCTTGGAATGAAATGGAACTTTAGAACTCTTCCCCTAGTTTTCATTTCTTTTTAGAGTTGGGGGTCTCTGTGTTGCCCAAGCATGAGTGCAGTGGTCATTCACAGGTGCAATCATAGATCACTACATTCTTGAATTCCTGGGCTCATCTGATCTTCTGCTTCAGACTCCAGAGTAGCTGGGACTACAGATACACCACCATGCCCAGCTAACTTTTTTATTTTTTGTAGGGATGAGATAGCACACCTCGCTCATGTTTGCATTTTTAACAAGTTATTACCATTATAAAATCCCATTTCTGTGTTTCTCACAAGTTAGGGAATTCCTTGAGGGCACTTGAGTTATTTCCTATTTTTTTAAAATTTAGGCTTGGCACCTGCAGCTCAGTGGTTAGGGTGCCAGTCACATACACTGAGGCAGGCCAGTTCGAACCTGGCCCAGGCCTGCTAAACAATAATGACAACTGCAACAAAAGGTAGCCAGGTGTTGTGGTGGGTGCCTGTGGTCCCAGCTACTTGGGAGGCTGAAGCAAGAGAATTGCTTAAGCCCAAGAGTTTGAGGTTGCTGTGATGCCAGGGTACTCTATCAAGGGCGACATTGTAAGACTCTGTCTCAAAAAAAAAAAAATTAAAATTTAACTCTGTAAGGAATATATGAGTATGATCCCATAAGAATTCCAAATACCAAGAAGGGTTTCAATTCCTCACCTTCTCTTCTCGAAGATTAAGTTAGTTGTCTCACTTTGGGGATGGCTTTTTTCTGGTTATTGACTCACACGTGTAATCCTAGAAACCCCATAACATTGGATACAGAATTGTGGACCCTTCTGCCACTTGCTGGACAAGGGTGTAGGAGCTATATTGCAGGACAGTACATATGTAAGATCTACCTCCTGTTCAATTGCTACATAGTAAGTATTCCAGTGTACTGTGAGCCACAAATTACTTATCTAATTCCCTACTGATGGGACATTAAGAGCAAAACATTGGAAACAATTGCATACAACCACTATGTGAGCTCCACACCCTTTCCCAGGGTACATAACCTACAAAAAAGAACTGCTTGCTGGGTTAATAGGATAGATGCCTTTACGATGTCATTAGAAGATGTCAAATTGCCCAGTGTTTACTCCTGCCAGTCCCACGGGAGCGTGCCCACAGCTCTGGTCTTTACACAGCTAATGCTGAGAATGACGATGGTAAATCCTAGTTGTCAAGGCTCACTATGCTGAGGCACAGGGCCAACCCCTTTACGAGCCTCGTTCCTTTGAATTTTTGTGTCGCACCATCACATCCATTACTCAGGGCAAACAGGCTCGGCGCTGTTCCACGGTGGAGGCCACACACAGTGAGGCATGGGACACAGATAAGCTCCCGGTCAGGGAGCTCCGAATGCGCACTTTTCCATACGTTAGGGAACTCGGGGAGAAGGCACCTAACTTGCCCCTTTGCAAAGGTTTGTTGATTGTGATGGAAATTGGCCTGCCTGGAGTGTGGGGCAGTTGACGCCTGACGTTACATTTCTCCTGCTCTCAGTTATTTGCAAAACAGATTGCGTTGAGAGCTACGTTTCCTTAGCTGGGCATTTTGCAAATTAGGGAACGCTACGCCCAATTGCAGGTCACGGGCCTCGAACCCCATCTTCGCGCGTCTCGGTTGCTGATGTTGTGCCGGGTTTCACGTACTCAGCCGCGGCCTGATAACCAGGGCGGGGCCCGAAGAGGGCAGTGATTGGCATTCGCTCCAGCCAGTCCACGCCTCAGGCTGACGCTGCAAGCCAATACCTGCTTCCCTCTGTGCGGTAGTAGGGCGGTCCCCGAGGCGCCCTTGTCAATCCGAGGCCCAGCCTCCGTTGGGTTGGTAGTGGCCGCCTTGGCTGGCGTGCGCCTTCGCAAATGAGAGCGGAGCCGGTCAGCGGACACGTGGGTGGGCGCCGGCGTGTCCCTACTGGTTAGCCAATGAGGAAGCGAGGCTGACTTTTGCGCCCGCCCAATCACGGCGCGCGATGGGCGGGCCGTGCGGTGTTGATGGGACCGGCGGAGGGGAGGGGCGGAGCTGTCAGGGTTGACCAATGGGTGAGCGGGCGTGGGCACGGCGGCCAATGGCAGCCGGGGCGGAGCTGGCGCGGGGTTTCATAAGGCCCCCCCCCGGGAACTAGCGGAGGGCTCGGCCGCCAGCAACCGAGCGGGGCCCGGCCCGAGGTGGGCTTGGGAGGGTGAGACGCCGAGGGCAGGGGAGCTCGCGCCGCTGCTCCGGACAGGGCCGCGCGCGCCGCCTCAGGTGAGCCCGCGGGGAGGCCGCCCGGCCGCGTCCGAGCGTGGACCCTGCCGCCGTCACCGCCATGGCCGCCCCCGCGCCGTTGCTTGGGGCTGCGGGCGCGCCCGGGACTCGAGGCCCAGGCCTCGGGCGCGGCCTGCTCGGGCCCGGCCGCCGCGCTTTGTCCGGGCCGGTGAGGCGGTTGGGGGCGTTAACCGCCGGGGCCCGGGGCGCCCGCTGTCTTTCGGGAGGGGGCGGCGGGGCCGGACAATGGCGGGGCGCGCCCAGGGGCGGGGGCGCCCCTTCCTGGGCCCGGGTCGCGCGGAGGGCTGGGCCCAGAAGTCCCCCGCCTGGCCCCGCACAAAAGATGACTGCGTGGGTGGCCCTGGGCCCTGTTCTTTTATTACCGAAAGCAATCCTCATAATAATTAAAGAAAAAAAAAAAGCAAGAAAGAAAAAATAAATAAAAGACCCCAGGCCCTGTGTAACACCTGCGTTTCCAGCCCTACGGGCACGGGAGGAGCTAATGGGGAACCTCCCGGCGTGGACGTCCAGGGCTATGCCCCGAAATACCCATCGTTGTTCCCAGCCCCCTCCCCGAGTCAACCTGCTGTGCAGTCGTGGCTTCCAAACTTGCCCCCATCCCGTGTCCCTGAACCTCCTAATAAGCCTGCAATTTGAATTTTAAACAAATTTTATCTATTTGCTATGCAATCGCAGTTTCAAGGCGCGCCCCCCTCCCCCTTTCAGCCTGATCGCCATCTCGAAGGAAGCCCCCTTCTCTGTATAAATGGTTTGAGGAGTTGGTCCCAGTGTGACCCCTTTTGCTGTCCTCGCGTGGATATCCCAATGGGAGCTGAGGACTGATTCTTTCTGAAATGTACTTGACCGGGGGTTTACCGGGGTTGGGTCTGTCGGTGCTCAGTGGTTGGGATATATTAGGCAGAATGGGGTCTGTGCCTACATGGACATGGTGGAAGGTTTCACAAGGGATTCTCCCTCCCGCCCCCCACCATCCGTGCCCTTGGGGATTGGTAGAGACGTAGACTGCTTTTGGGAGCGTCTCATCTGTGTGGTTGGGAGAGGTTGCTTTTTTTCTAAATAATTCAGTGGCACCTGGTGAACTGTTTCTTAAGTTGTGAAACTAGTGAGAAGGTGGTTCATCTTAGTGAGCCCAGTGAACCTGGAATATGTAAAGAGTGTTTTCCATGTGTTTCTACTAGCAGCATTTATTTAGCAAACTCCTTAAGGTCCCAGTAGGTGCCAGTACTGTCTTAGGATCAGAGGGTAATTGGGGTGAATTCTGGGGTTTGGTATCCTTCCCCAGCCCTCTCTCTTACCAGCCATTTTTAAATGCCCCATGCTCCTCAAAACCGCCCCAGCCGTAGACAGACTCACTGGATGACTCTTATGGGCTTTTTTTTTTTTTTTGAGAGTCTCTATTGCCCAGCTGATAGCAGCCTCAAACTCCTGGGTTCAAATTATCCTCCTACCTCAGCCTCCTGAGTAGCTGGGACAACAGGCATGCACCTACCACCACATCTGGTTAATTTTTCTATTTTTGGTGGCAATGGGGTCTTGCGCTTGGCTGAGACTGGTCTCAACCCCTGAGCTCAAAGGATCCTTTCTCTTGGGCCTCCTTGGGCCTCCTAGAGTGCTGGGATTATAGGCGTCAGCCACTGCCCCAGGCCTTTTATGGGCTTTTATCACAGTCTTGCAAAAGCTAATGACTCCCCTAATTCTCAAATAATAGCTTCCTTACGAGCCATCAGTAGGGTTTTCCAGCAGATTGGGTCAACCTTTTCTTGCCACCCTGCAGAAGCAGTGGCCATCCTCTCTCCCCTTGGCAGTTTATTTTTTGAAACTCTGAAGGACATGGAGTCAACTTTTGATTGTTTGTGTCAAGGATTTCCAAAACTTGCCAGCCGCCTTTGCCCATGTCTTATTGGACGCTTGACAGATCTTGGTCCTTTCTCTTTGTGTTGGGGACACCAAGATGGTCAGACTGTCCTGGCCTGGAGGAGGCCACTGCTGGGGAAGAAAAGGGGTGGTGATTTGGTTGCACAAATGGTGTTTGTGTATAGCTTGCTTTGGTGTTTTGTGTGGAAGTGTGTAGTTGCTGTGGCTTGAAATATATTCAAGTCTTAGTAACAAATGATTTTTTTACATTTTCTAATCTTTTCGGGGAGGAGGCTGCTAAGGGGACAGCTACTTAAAGGTACTCTTATTGGTCCACTGTACAGTACTCCACCTGGCCTTTATTGCTCTTTGCTTGTTTGTAGAAAGGGTGCTATCTCACCCTGCAGGAGATGCCAGGGGGTATTATCCTCTCTGCCCCTCTTTCCCACCCTGACCCCTCTGCCAACGCCTTGATTCCTAACTTTCCTGCCACTTCTGCTGGTTTCCTGCCCTGCCTCCTTCCTACTCTCAGCCCTGGGAACCTCAGTCCCTGGGAGCCCATCTGCCCACGATGGGCCTTGGGCTGCGCTTTTACATTCACCTAGCCTGGAGGTGTTGAGTTTTAAGTGCCAGGCAGGTAGAGAGGAAGCCTTAGCTCCAAGGGGCTTCTCGTTTAGTGGGGGAAAAGATGAGGCGGGTGCCCCAGTGTATGGTCACAGCTGTAATGGCTCCCCACTCAGGGAGCCAGCAGGACTGAGGGATGAGGGACTGAGACTTGGGCACAGGAACATGTCTGGGTGGCTTTTTTCTGCAGGTCTAGAAGCAAGGTGTGACCTTGGGCCAGTCACTTGCTCAGGAACAAAGCTGGGTAGGGTGCACTAAACCTTTCCAAGTCCACTGGTGGGGACGGGGTGGAGAGCAGGTGAACTGTGGGCTGGAGGCTCTGCAAGCCTGTGCTGGTGACACATCGCTGCTGTCACCACCAGCCTCATCCTAGGCACCTGGCTGGGCTCCATTGACCTGTCACATGGCTGCACAGTAGGGCCTTCAAACAACACAATTCTTCCTATCCTACCCCAGGGGCCACTGCCTCTTGGCTAGGATGCAGGATGTAGAGAAGGGGCTGAACCCAGGCTCCAAGTGACCTGGTGTCCTTGGCAGATCCTGGGGTTGTCTTCCATTCCATGCTCTGAATAGGCTTCGGGATCTGAGAGACTTGGGTTCATATCCCTCCTCTGAGGTGGTTCACTTCATTTCTCTAGTCCTCACTGTCCTCATCTGTTAAATGGGTATATTGAGTGCACCTCTTTCTCTGGTGACTGTGAGGATAAAAGGAGATGAAGCCTGCACAGTATGGAGAGCTCTGTTTTTGGAGCTGCTTCATTGAGCCTGACAGGTCTCTTAGCCTCTGCCCTGTCCACACTCTGGGTTGGGCCATTCCCTGTGGCAGTGTGGGGTACTGAGTAGCAACCCAGGCTTCACCCACCAGCTGCCAGCAATACTCCCCAGGCATGACAACCAGTTGTCCCCTGGGGAGCTTAGTCACTGCCTGAGACTTGGCCTTCTGCCCTGAAGCAGCCAATGTGTAATCCGGACCCCAGTATACCCCAGGTTCTCATTTCCCTTTATCCCCCTCCTCATCTCCACAATCATGAGTGGCTTGTATTTATGAGCTGCATCCTATCTTATCCATACTCCCTGGCCTCTCTGTCTAGGTCCTTGGTGACTGTCCCACTCCCCGCCCCAGCTGGGAGGGGAGGAGCTGCCTGCAGCATGCCCATGCACCCCTGCAACCTCAACCTTATGTTGAGAAAAACTAGGTGTCAGGTGGAGTTCTCCTAGGGCCTCTGAACCCTTCCAGGTCCCTGCCCAATGGCTGCCCAGAAGTGGCACTTCCCCACCCTCCCAATCCCTGTACCCTGGATCTGTTGATTTGCTGAACAGTTTTCTTTAAATCTACTCAGGATGACTCACTTCTTTGAGCTTGGCTTCTTCCTGAGCAATCATGTACCTGACGTTGTGGGATGTTAATGTGCTGGCTGCAGACATTTACTAATACACATTAACAGGAGCTTAACTGCTATATTAAAGAGAAGTTTATATCACCTCAATACTAAGACCTGAGTGGATCAGTGAACAGATTATTTGTTGCTGTTGTTGTTGTTGGATGAATTGATTTTCTAGTCTGCTCCTTGCCTGTTCTGGGATGCCTTTCTTTGTTAATAAGGTGTCCCAGCAAGTCTGTCAGTTTTCAAACCCAGTGCCTCAAGGAGCTTTTAAAAATGACTGGCTAGGGATGGGGAGAATCTCTAGCTCCGTCTTGGTTTTTCTCTGAACCTAAATCTGCTTTGTAAACAATAAAGTCTGTTTTAAAGAATTGAATAGCAGGCTCGGCGCCTATAGCTCAACCGGCTAAGGCGCCAGCCATGTACACCTAAGGTGGCGGGTTCGAATCCCCAGCCCGGACCCGCCAAACAGCAATGACGGCTGCAACCAAAAAATGGCCGGGCGCTGTGGTGGGCGCCTGTGGTCCCAGCTACTTGGGAGGCGGAGGCAGGAGACTCGCTTGAGCCCAGGAGTTGGAGGTTGCTGTGAGCTGTAATGCCACAGCACTCTACCCAGGGGGACAGCTTGAGGCTCTGTCTCAAAAAAAAAAAAAAAAAAAAAAGAATTGAATAGCCAAAGGAGTGAAAAAAGAAACCCAACAAAAAAAATAGTCCTCCCCTGCTCAGAATCTGTTAGTGGTTTTCCTTTTGCCCTTGGAAAAAATTCCAGACCCCTTCCTGTGGCCACTTGCTCCATCCTTTCTGGCCCTGTCTTCTCTGCTGCTCATCCCTGCTGTAACCACCCCACCCGCCTGCTCTTTCTGTCTCAGGACCTTTGAGCTTGCTGGCCACTCTGTCAAAATGGTTTTCTTTTCCTCCCAGCTGGCTCAGGCTCAGAGAATCCTTCCAGCCACCCTCCCTCTCCCATCCTGCTTCCTCTTTGCATGTGACGCTATCAGAAGTGCATATTAATCTGCTTATGTATTTGTTGTCTGTCTCATCTAACAAGGGGGATTGGGAGGGAGAAATGGGGCAAGAGGAGCTTTTCCTGCAAATACAGAGTAAATATTTTTGGCTTTG